CGCCTATCTGGATGAATAGACCAGTCTATTTTATATTTGTACACCCAGTTTCTTCTGCTGAAATGTGGAACTTCACATTTTTTCTCTTTGAAACTCATTTAGTTAGTTTTGGCTCAGTTCTCAAACCGGATCAGGCCATCTTAAAAGTATAGTAGTATTATTTTCTAACGGTTCACAGACCAACTATTTAACTACCTTTTCCTGGTATCTGACTAAAGCTGACTGGTTGACAGTTGCCTGGATCTTCTTTTTTCTCCTTTGTGAAGATGCTCAACTATCACATCCCAGAAGTACACACTAACTTCCCAGAAATAACAGCAAGAGACATTGTGTATCCTAGGGCCTTTTAGCTGCATATGGCTTCACCAGCTCTTCAGTTTTCCAACTGGTTGTTTTCTCAGAGCAGGTTTCTTCATCAGCAAGATTAGGCAATTCATTCATTTTCATAGTTTGTGACAAACAGCCTAGGGTGCAATAACTGCCTTTCCTAGTGTTAGGAATACTGAGAACATGGCTAATATTTGCTTGTTGTTTGAACAAATTGAAAAGCAGGAGAATACTGATTTAGGGGGAGGATTTTTATGATATTTCACATTTTCTCTACAATCTACATTTGAACCCAAGTTCAAACATGTTTATGAATAATCTGACCTTTCACACCAGATTATGCATAAACATGTTCAAACCCACCCATAAACTTAAACATAGGTTGCAGAAAAAAATATGACATGTCACAGAAATCCTCCCTCTCCTGATACCCGAGCCTGTTTCTCTTGGAACAGGACATAGGCTATCTACATGCCCCCCCTTTTTTAATGGGGAAAACCTATTCTTAACATCATAAACCTGTTTGCCCAAGACTACACAGCATTTGTTGACTAATTTGATGCACAAAACTACAATTTTCCTTCCTATGGAGCATATAATCAGTTTTTCTCTTGTCCCAAATCATATTCTGATTTTTCCCATGGTAAAAATTCCTCTCCAGTTGATTGTACCATGTGATGGCTCATGGAGGACAGCTGACTGTATGAGGCCCTCTTCATCACCACAAACTGAAATGTGACTACAGTTCTTCAAGGTATCAACAAACCAGGACACATCTAATGCTTTGAACATTTTTTCCTGGCCAGCAATGGCTGAAATCTTCTTCTTTATTACATATATGGAAAGCAAAAGGTGTAACATTCTGCCATTCTTAGCTGGCAATTAACAAGTCACTGCTGGAATTCTTGGGGATACATGCAGCCACTGCCTTGCTGAGAACTCAAGAATCTCAGCAAGAAATTTCCAGCCTTTTGCCTTCCGTATGCATAACAAGGCAATAGGATTTCAGCCAATACCTTAAACCTATCCTCACTAGAGAGGGGGTATTTGTATTCATATACATATATGAATATCCCCGTGCAGCTGGACTTAACAAGGTGCTGGCCCCTGCAGCCAGCCCGTCCACTACACATGTCCAGTGGTGGTGGCAGCCTTGCCCATCCTTCCAATCACTCCTGGAGCCGCTCTCTTCCCACCAATCACTCCTGGAGCTCCGCTCTCTTCCCACTCACCTGGCCACTCGGCAGCCATGCAGGGACAGGTCCTTGCTCCCACTGCCTGGAGTGGCCAGGTGAGCAGGAAGGGAGTGGCGCTCTGGGAGTGATTGGAAGGATGAGTGAGGCTGCCCCCACCACCAGACATATGAGTGGATGGGCCGGCTGCAGGGCCTGGCTCCTCATTAAGTCCAACTGCACAGGGATATTCATATTCATATACGAATACCCCCATCACTAACCCAATCCTATTGTATAAATATCCTCACCTTGATGTTTCAGATGTAGGGGTTCTCTTCTCCATAAAGGGCCCTAACAATGGAAGTCAACATATATCTGAAACGTCTAGAAATGAACAAATACCAATATCTCCACTGTACTACCAAATATCATGCATCCCCCTGCAGCATCCATGGGTGATCAGTTCCAACCCACCTTCCACAGACACCGAAAAGTGTGAGTATAGAAACACTATATCTATCATCATCTCTGGTTCTTTCTAGTGGCCAGTTCTGGTAATACAACTTGGAAACAAGTATTTCTGGGTTTTTTAATTTAATATTTTCAGGCAGCGGATAAGTGAAACTGCAGGTACTGATATGGCAGCCCTACTGTTTATTATGAGGGACAGAAATTGCCCAGCTACAGCCCAGAAGAGTTTCTCAATAAATGAGAGGTAAAGCAGCCAAACACAAAAAAAGGACGAGATCTCATATTTTGGAAAGAGTTCTGAAGAGGAAAGTATTTTGGCAGATAAAGCATGAAATGCGCAGAATAGATAAGCAGTGCTTCGTGTGATTCTCTCTTCTGTGTAAGCACTAGAGGGAAGGCAGCTCTGTCTTCCCTTGTTTTCACCACACTATAGGCAGGAAGAGTTGGCACAGCTATTACAACAGCAAGAACATCAATACTGTATTTCCTTTAAGCTGAAGCTGGTACTATGGAAGCAACTGCCAATGTATTTAATCACTATTAACTGTCCGCTTATACCTTTGAGGTATTAATATCTAATATCTCTTAAGCAAATATCAAGTCCACTAAACCTACAGATGCTTCCCTTGAAACTCTCACAAAGTACTAAGTGAGAAGATAGTGTCACACCTCCAAATCAGCTTAGCTCTCATCAACTGGAAGGTCCTATGTGATTCTGCTGTCCCACAGCATAATCTTGTGTGATCCCAGGAACTGAGCTTCCCTCAGGGACTGAAACTAGTTAGGGTTATCTCCTCATCCTCACTGCTGACAACTCCAATGAATTGTTGGGATCTTTGAGAAAGACTGTGACTCCTGACCCTCATCCCGAAAAAGGAGGGAACAGATACAAGCTGTTCCCAACAGTTCACATTGCCTGAACAGCCTAATTAACACTTCATCAACTGGGGCTGGCTGTTCCATCTGTAGAAATTCTCTTGCACCTGTGCATTTGTACAGCTCTGGTTCTCTTCTCTGCCCTGCAGGCGGTCATCTCAGCAGTGCAAAAAAGACCCCTGTCCTGCTCTACAATAGGACTTCAAATACACTAGCCTTCTTATGTTAGTACAGTATTCAGTTCAAGAGTACAATTCTGGTCAGACAGATGCAGGAGATCATATTGCTTTAAAAATGTACATGCACAAGAAAATAAGCACAGTTTAAGCATAATCCTTAGTTGGTAGAGTAAGCATTCTCAGGAGAATAGCCATTTTAGATTTTTGCAAGAAAGGCAATGCTAAATCTTGTGGCAGATTAAAGAATTCAATTGGGCGTAAACTGTCATGAACTGCAGCTCATCTGATCCAATAAGATGCCATCCAGAAAAGCTTATGAGAATTAAAACTAGCTTTCAAAGAGCAACAAATTTCTTTGTTGTTCAGATAAACAGAAGTAATAGAATTTATCCAACACAGATAAAAAACAAATATGATCAAAAGGCAAGTACGAGTGAATATATTGTTGGTAAGTACCATCAAATCACTTCCAATATATGTTGGCCCTAACAGAGTTTCCAAGGTATGTGCAATGTTCAAGGAGACATTTACCATTGCCACTCCCTGGTGAGTTCTCCTGGCTGAGTGGGTATTTGAACCCATCTCTCCCAAGTGTCCATCATTCTATCTGCTACATTGCACTCTTTCTCATGAAGCAAGATAAGGCAAGGCAAATGTAGGACCACAAAGGAAGGTATACTAGGAAATGTAAGCAGGAACAAACATTTACTCCCACCAGATGACTAAACATGGGTCAATACAAAGGCTGGGGTGTCATATTTCTCCACCTTAATGGGCCTGCAATCCATCAAAAGATAAGAAAGGGAATGCCCCATCATCCCATTTTTTTCCCCTCCAGTCAACGACTACTGATGGTATGTAGGCTCAATCCTGACTTGGAAACTCACATATCAAACTCACTCTAGGGCTCGTTCAGACTACAGTGTATATCACAAAGTTGGAAGTGTCATAATGAATGGCCTTCCCGATTCCCAATGTCTACTTTGGCAAATAGTCATAATAAGCCTAACACCCTAATAGGTGCCAACCCTATCTGAAAATTTCTGAGGAAAAGAATTTGCAATGTGTTTTCTTTAATCCACTGCCCTATAGTTGAAAACATGATACTATTCATGGTTCAGTAGGAGGGCAGAAGAGCTGCAGAATTCATTTTTCTAAGAATTAGTGCCCCCCCCCCATTTTCCTCCCTTCCTCCCTTCCTTCCTTCCAGAACTAACCTTTGCAATTTTGAAATTCCTCTGAGCTCTTCACAACTACTTAATAATCAATGGTGTGAGTGAAAGAGACTTCCCATCTCCTACTATATAGATAGAAAAGAGAAGTGTTTCTCTAGTGCAATGCTTCCCTAATCTCCTGCATGCACCCTTGCCAAGAAGTAGGGAAAGAGCAGGGGTAGGAAAGAAGGTATATTTAGACTTTACAAGGAAGGATATTGGATATTACACCAGACAGAATTGTTTCTGTGTCTCATGACTCTGCCCTCTGCCCCACTAGGCATAAGCTACCACTGCTAGTTCCTTGCACCATTTGGCATGAACCTTATCACTCACCCATCCAAGAGGGCCACAACATTCTTCCTAGGTCTCCCAATGTTGGGGCCGTACAGGCTGGCTCGGGAGTAGGTGCGGATCAGCTGCAACAGCCTCTTCAGCTGCACGTAGTCCTTGCCCAACTGAGTACCATTCACTGCTCGCCCTGTCAGAGCTCGGTAGTTATTGGGTTCTGGTAGCAAAGAGAAACAAGCATTCATCAATTCTGGACCAGGTAAGCTGAAAAGGGTGCCCAGTATGAGGGGCCTTCACCAGTTTGAAAGTATTTTGCAAGAGGAATTAGATGAAGTGGCCCTGTAGTTCTTTACAGTATAATCCTATACATACTGTATAGCCCTCAAAGTAAATGTAATTCAACTCTGCAGGACTTCTATATCTGCTGGCATATATAAGCTGTACGATTAGTGTTCTTCTAAAGTCTGGAAGCTGTAAGATCTTTTAGGTATGGGCTCCCTCCTTTCTACAACAGTCTGTGGGTGCCTGTAACTATCAGTTGCAGTGAAGCTCCCATATACCCTCACAGTAACATTCCACTTTTCTTCCTTTGGGCTGAGAGTTGCTCACAACCTGAATCGTAAGTTCTTTTTTTCCTCCCTCTTCCTTTCCCAGATCCCCATTTCCCAAGACCACTCACCATTGCCCAGTTCCCAGGAGATATTGTACTTCTTGCTGGCACTGTACTTGATCAGGCTGAGGGCATTGGAACTGTTCCAGGAATTGTTGGGGTTCCGGCGCAAAGCATTCAATGCAAAGATAAGATGGAGGCCAGAGCAATCAGCAAAATTATAGAGTTTGTCTAGAGACCTGGCTGGGAAGAAACAAAACCAGCCTGAAACTCAAGTGCAAAGAATTACTATCTCCAGAGACTAACCCCATCCCATAACATGGTAACATGATCTGTCCTCAGAGGGAACACTCCTAAACTTTCCAGATGACTTTTCAGATTATGCAATAAATGCAATATGCAAGTTGTTATTATTCTCTTGTAGCAGCAGATTTGCCCATCCTATCCCCGATTAATCATTCTGTTCTGGGGATATCACATTTTCTTAGTAAGCAGATTCTAGTACTTTGTTGTTGGGACAATGCCCAACCCACCTCACTACTCAACCTGTACTTGTTTAATACTTATTTAACTGAAATCTGAGTATAACTGAACACCTGTTGTCTAGTGTATGTTGTAGACATCTAACATAGTTCATTCTACAATATAAATTTTTCTTCTTTTTTAGAGATTTCAGACTCCTATGCCATTTCAGTGCTGGTGAACCTTTGCAGCATTAAGACCTTTCCCTTAGATACAGCTATGCCTGATATTTCTGCAAACTGCCCACCAAATAAACACACATTTTTAGTTTTGTAGTGTACTCTCCACTTCTACCATGGCAGTTCACATCTTTCATGGTCAGTTTTTTCAACTACATAGTTCAAGATATCCTCCTTTCCAAAGGCCACAAGGTGCATTCACCCTGCCTCATTAGCAGAACTAAAGGGCAAAGGCATCTGAGCAACATTACTTTCCATTTGTAATACTTGCACACGAAACTCCCAATGTTATTTCTTCTGATTCCCCCCCCCCTTTTTGCCACAGAAAGCATTCTAGGGAGGGTAAGTCACAACTGTTGCACCATCTCACTCAGCTTTTGAGAAGCAACCTATGTATTTTCACTGGTTCACATAAAGTATATGTGAATGGAATACTGGACTACTGATGTTGGACTGGCACTTTATAAGGAGTTCATGCTGCTAAGTATCAAACGTAGGGGGCCTGGACATATAAGAAAGCCATTTTTCTCTTTCTCTGTTGTGGTCTTGGAGGCAGACTCTTAAGAATCGCCTGGCTTTAAGTAACAGAATGACAACAATCTTCTCCAAGTGGATTTTGTCTGTACTGTTTGCTTTCCTTGAGAGCTCTGAACCAATTTAAAGAGGTTATACATCTGCAGCCACTTCTGAGAGTCACTTTTTTTTAAGACACGTCTCCAAAGAGTAATTGTACATTATCTTCTTGGAAAAAAGGAAGGGAAATTAAATAAAGGAATGTGTTGTTAAACTAATGAGCAATTGGAGAAAGCAGTTGCTTACAGTCTTGGAACCGGACAGTGGGCCTTGCTCTCTGCCAGCTCTCTAGAACTGGCTCCAGGCTGCTGCAGTCCTACAGGACATAAGACACTAGGCTGACTACTTCTTGGGGATTAACACTGTGGTTTAGTTTGTAAAGGTTATTATATTATCACTCCAAACAGAGGTGGAGGTGAAAGGTGACTCAAGTCATCTTTCACCTCTATATTACCAGACAGAGATTGAGCAGAAATTGGAAAAGCTATCTTTTTTTGGGGGGGGGGGATTATAACTCCCTGTTGGAGTGATTACAACCTCACATGCTGCCTCTAGTAGGTGTGGCTAGGAAGGACCTTTCTGGGCTGCATGACTGTCAATCTGTTCAGCATCAGCCTGTTGTTCCTTCCCTGCTTCTGAGCTGAAAGAAAGCTCTATAACTCCCCCCCCCCGGTTGTCTGTTGGACATCAGTCTGTTGAGGCTATTGCTGCCAACAATTATGTTTGTTCTTAGTTTGTTGTTGTTTTATTTGTTCATCTTTAATAAATGAAACCTTTTTATTCTTTCTCCAAATATTGTTTCAGAGTGTCTTACTGAGACCGTGAGTGCAGGTGATGAGAAAAAGGGATGGACTACTCTGGGCAACTTGAAGCTAATTCTGTTCTGTGAACCCCTGTACTTCTGCTGAACAGCCAGAGGAATTTAGACAGAAATTCAAACTCAGGAACACTCCCAAACTCCCACAGCAAGAATGGACACTACCCAAGCTCCCTGTGAGATTTTTGGAGCTGTAGTTTAAAATATTAACTCTCGCATCTCTTTCAAACAGAGACTAAAAGATGATGAGCTGCCCAAAGTTGCATACCAATGGAGAAAGGTCTTAATCCCAGGCTTTCTGGAGCCTTCTTCAGCTGTTTTAATGTCAAATACCCAAGGAAAGAAAGAAGAAAAATGCTAGCTTGGCTCATTTACTTTCCTTGTTGCATCCCCACTGCCATCTCTAAATTGGATTGATACGTTCCTCAGTGAGAAACCATCTCTTCTGGTGTAGGCTCCCTATATGATTTAGCAAGCAGCTTAACTTCCTACTATTCTAAACTGGAGTCCATATGGAGAGATCTTTCCTATGTGTAGTAGTTACCCCTCTGACGCATAGAAGATGGAAACAGTAATGGGAGGGAGGAACTATCATCCTCATTCACCTCTCTGGTGCCATCGACAATACAGTATGCTCAAATAAGATCTAAATTAAGATCTAAATTAAATGCTGTGTTCACTGATGATTATATGAATATCAGACAGAGTTTATTCAACCTTCAACATTAATTCTGACTCCCATCAAAATGTATTCCAACAGTAAAAACATATACACGTACAACCACTCCTGGGCAACTTTTGTGCATATCTTTAGAATGGAATTAAAACATGTAGCTCTTAAAAAGCAACGTTAGAAGCAGTCAGAAGACATCCATGCATGCTGTAAAGCAGGCCTGCACACAGCAGGCAGGAGGTGGGAATCTCCAAGGTGAAAAGTCATGGATGCTAAATAGGCCCAGACGGCTGGCGGTTTCTTTTCTTTATGAGGCCAAAGACAGGGTCAACTCCCTTGGTAGAATCTGCTGTCTCTCAGGTCTCAGTCACTCCTTGTTACCTTGGACTCCATTTCGTCCGGGTCACACATTTTCTGGGGGAACCCACACTTTCATGAGCGTCTGGGGGCCTCCAGTTTGCATGTGTTTGTGTGTTAGCACTGTCTAAGCCAGCTACAGGTTTTGATGTAAAATCTTGAGGAGATTTTTCCCAGCCAATTACATTATTGTTCTCAGAGAGCTCCATGTTTTCTGGGGTGAGGTGTGGGAGTAAGGAGAAGAGATGCTGCAAGCTTTAAGTGGAATCAGGTGCTGTTTCCCTGCAGGGAGGTCTGGAAAATGTCAGAGTCCTTGGAGTAACAGGTACTGGCAGATGAGCCCAGCACTTCCCACACAAAGCAACCTCCTTCCTTCTGGAAACCTGCATCCTGTCCTTTGTCCTGGGAACAGGGGTCCTTAGAAAGGTTAGACCCGTACCGGACACATGCTCCAGAGCCAGCACCCGTTGGCAAAAGAATGAGAAGGCATTTCTGAGACACAATTGAGATGAGTCACCCAGAGTGCTTATATCCTAGGAGCAACCACATAACTGACGCTGAAACCACACCTGCCTGGGGTCAACCAGGAACCACATATAAGGCTCAGAGGATTCCACCTGTGAATGTGCAGGTGCCAAGGGAACATGTGTTGCCATAGTGACCACTATTGTGTTTCTTGAGTAAGAAATAGTGAAGGAAAGCAGGCAGGGAAATGCAGAAAGAAACTATAAGTTTCTAGCACAAAACCTCCTCCCGCACCTCCCTTCTTATGTTAATGATGTAATAGAGCAAAACTGAACTGACTCTTTTCCTGCTTTAGTGTAGTGAATTCCTTCCTAGGGGCAGCACCAGTGATGCAAAGAAAGGGAAAGATCAGCACTTACAAAGAAAGAATGGCTCAGTAGAGTGTCTGACAGGGACACCCTTTGTTTTCTTTTTTCGGTCAGGCCCTTGCATTTGGATCACTGCCAGGCCTTCAATTGCTGTTTTCTGTCTTGCTGCTTCTACAAGTTTAAGTATGCAACCCAGCAGCCCTGCACCTTGAGTTTCCAATAAACTCTTCTTGTCTGTTTTTGCACTTTTTACAATTTGATACAGAGAAATTTGCAGGTGATGATATCTCTCTCCACGCAAAGAAAACCTTCACTAGATGATTCCTCCATCTCAGGCTGCTGTTAAAAGGCATGGTTGTAAGAGGTGGTTCAACAGCTGGCAATATCATTGATCTTAGAAACAGATCTTTGTTCAGCTAGGATTCAGACTATTAGTATTACACCAAAGAAAAAAAATATACCAGGCATAGTTTCTCTTGTCCATACAGCACTGTAGGAGGGGAAAAAAAGTAAACCAGAATTTGGACCTACTCAGCCAGATGTTTGCTTTCTCCTTCTGAACGTGAGCTCTACTTGCAACTATTATTTTTAATAGACCATAATGAATATGGAAAAGTGGGCAAGGTACCAGCAGAAGAAGAGAAAACACTATGCTCTCTATTACTAAGGCTTAAATTAAACCACTGAATTGCTTTTTCCCCACCCAGGATGGGGCTATTTCACAAAAGTTCAGGCTTTATTTATTTTTTTGCAATACATGGTTTATTGTTTTTCCAACCATTAAATGGAAGGGAAAACAAAAGTCAAACTGGAAATTTGAGTCAGAACGTGCTTGTTCTCAGCTGGTAGAGAAAAAGTTGTGCTTCATGAAATTTCACGTACTTAGGAAAGAAAACACAGCATTTTCAGAGAAAGACCTAAATGGAGCTACCCACCCATGGTGATTGTCATGCATCTTCATAGACTGATCTGCCAACGTTTTTGCTTCTCTGTCTCCTGCAAGCTGTTAACTCCAGTCTGGCATACAAAATTTTTACAAGTGAAGCTTTTTCTGAGTGGAAATATAGTCAGGAGAAAAGCTTACTTTTTTACATGTTAAATTGTTGCAGGACAAGGGCCAATAAAGAAAGAAATGCTAACAACTTTAAAGCCAATTATCAGTTTGGAGGCACTGTTACCATTCATTCTTCGTTACCAATAAACAGTTCATTGTAGTTGAGTCTTGTAGATAACCCCCATTGTGATAGCACAATAAGGTCCAATATATTGCAAATTCTGTGGCTGGTCAG